TGACGACCCGCAGCTGGGGCACGGGCACCAGAATAATGGCCCGACTCTCGAGACCTCTTGGCCTCCCTCTCCTCTCTATCCCTAGCATGCATACCCTCAATCCTCCTAGCAATGCTCACCACCTGCTGATAAGAAATATCCATCTCTAACTCACGAGCCATGCTAGACCTGATGCTGGGAATAAGCCCCTCAATAAACCGGTGAACCTTCTCGCGAACCGTAGAGACCAAAGCTGGTGCATGTCTAGCCAAGTCGGTGTAACGGACAGCATACTCCGAGAGAGTCATAGTACCCTGGCGCAAATGCTCAAACTCCGCGCGCCATGCGTCCCTGAGACTCTGGGGGACATACTCCCTCGTTAACATATCTGAAAACTAAGCCCAAGTCAGGGAATCTGCCTCATCCGGACTGTCTAACTCATAAGCATGCCACCACTGGTAGGCGGCTCCTCGAAGCTGGAAGGTAGTGAATGAATTCCCGCTCGATCCTAATATGCCCATAGTACGGAGGATACGGTAGAACTCCTTAAGAAATCCAAGGGCATCATCTGAGGCTAGCCCGCTAAATATCGGAGGCTGATACTTCTTGAACCTCTCAAGCCTCTTTTGCTCCTCCTCTGAAACTAGTGCCCTCTCCTCGGGCTGAGCTGGGGCTACCGGTTGTACAGGAATAACCTCTGGGACCTGATCAACATGCACTCGCTGTTCAGGAGTGCGGGAGGCGGCAATCTGTTCTCCTCCCTCGACCTGGGATGTAGCTGCAGCAAGGGGAAGCAATCCTACCTGAGCCAGAGTGGTGTACATAGTCATAAATTGCGCCAGAGTCTCCTGGAGTGCTGGAGTAGTAGCAGCGGACGTATCAGCTGTCTGGACTCCGGCTGGTACTGCTGGTGGCACCTTGATGGCAGCTCGCGTGGATGCTCTGGTTGCACCACGAGTGCGTCCTCGGCCTCTTCCCGGCCTTTGCGGCTCCGAGTGGGGGCGCGGGTGCCTGATCGNCTCGTCACCTTACGTACAAGGCATTTCAATTAACAAATATACCAAATCCTAAGGGGAAGGTCCCACACACAAGGTTAGGCAAGCCACTTACCTCGAACCAGCTCAAAAATCAACCCGAAACCACGTTCTTGCCACGAGTATTCGACTCCAAATGGCCCAAATCTATTCAATTCAATTGCATAATGTAAATAACACTTCAAGTAACTAATTCTACAAAGAAATTCTAAGCTAATACGCGAAATTATGTGAAATGACCAAAATGCCCCTCGGGCCCACGTCTCGGAATCGGGTAAAATTTATATTTTCAGAATCCTCATACTCTCACGAGTTCATGCATACCAAATTTATCCAAATCCAAGGTCAAATTCCCCATCAAAATTCGAATTCTAGGTCTAAGAACTTTCTTCCCATTTTTCTCAATTTTCATCTCCAAATCCGAATTTAAATGACAAAACTAAGATAAGATTAATGGAATATAACTAGAAAGAAACAAGGAATCGTTACCCAATGATCTTCTCTTCAAAAACCTCACAAAATCGCCCTACCCCGAGCTCCAAATTTGATTTTTCCAAGTTTTGAACAGAACCCTCGATTCTGCCCCTTTTCTGCCTAGTAAAACCGCATCTGCGGTCATGGGACCGCACCTGCGGTCCCGCTTCTGCGGAGCCAAGGTCTCACCTGCGACTTCTCACTTAAATCAATTTCTCGCTTCTGCGACACATTTTCCGCACCTGCGGTCTCGCAGGTGCGTTAACCTTCTCGCACCTGCTGCTCCTGGAGCTGGACCAAATTTCTGCTTCCGCAGTCCAATAGCCGCTTTTGCGGCGCCGCACCTGCGGTCACACACACGCAGGTGCGGTTATGACAGGTTCAGCAATGCAAAAATCTTCCTAAGTCCAAATTCAACTTCCGTCAAGCACCCGAAACTCACCCGAGGCCCCCGGGACCTCAACCAAAAACACAAACAAGTCTAATACCACTACCCAAACTTATACCAATCCTTAAAACACCTAAAACAACATCAAAACACCAATTTAACATCGAATTCAAGCCTAAGAACTTCAAAAACTCAAAATTTACGCTTTCGATCAAAAAGTCTATCAAACCTCGTCCGAATGACCTGAAGTTTTGCACACATCACATTCAACACTACGGAGCTACTCCAACTTCCGAAATTCCATTCTGACCCTCGGATCAAAATCTCACTATCGAACCGGAAACTTCAAAAATCCAACTTTCGGCATTTCAAGCCTATATTAGCTACGGACCTCCAAAATGCAATCCGATCACGCCCTTAAGCCCGAAATCACCCAACGAAGCTAACGGAATCATCTGAATTCCATTCTGAGGTCGTCTTCATACTGTTCCGACTACGGTCAAATTTCCAACACTTAAGCTCTCATTTAGGGACTAAGTGTCCCAAAACTCTCCGAAACTCAAAACCGAACATCCCGACAATTGAAAATAGCAGAAATGAACACGGGGAAAGAAGTTAATAGGGAATCAGGGCGTAAATTTTAAAAACGACCGGCCGGGTCGTTACATTTTGTCTGTTGGGACCTCGAGCACGAGTCCCAGTCTCGATCCCGACGCGTTAGAGGCACCATTTGTATACAACACCCATAGGTCGTGTATTTTGGAGGATGTATGGGTGGCTTCCTTTTCGACTTCAGGCATTAATTTTGTGCTGAAGTGAGCGAGCACTTGCGACTTTATCACCGTTCGCGGCTGATAGGTTAAATCGTGCTCGCTTAATTCTATCTTAATTCTATGGCCCGTTTGGCCAATTTTCCCGACAGCTCGGGCTTGTGTAGAATACTTCTCAGGGGAAAGGTCGTTACTACCGAGATGTTATTTACTCTTGCTTCCGCCTCCAGGTGATTTGTTTGATGGCAAATATGTCATTTACTCTTGCTTCCGCCTTTTTTGCTCCGGCATGGGCCGTTACGAACTTGTCGGCCATCTCCTCGAATGTTTCAGTTGAGCGTGAGGGCAGATGTGAGTACTAAGTCAACGCACCCTCGGTGAGGGTTTCACCGAACTTCTTCGACAGGATGGAGGATACTTTCTCTTTGGCGAGGTCGTTGCCTTTTACTGTAGTGACGTAATGAGTCACATGATCTACTGGTTCCGTTGTGACGTCGTATATTTTTAGGTACGGTGGCATTTTGAAGGTTTTGGATATTGCGTGTGGTGTAGCTTCGTCGTTGTATGGCTGCTCAATAAACCGACCGGCGTCCCTTTTTGATAGGAGTTTTGGGGCGCCCGGTATTTTATCTACCCTTTCTTGATGTTCTTTCATTTGGTCGCGGAGCATTTTGTTCTCGTTATCCATCTCCTCCATTTTTCTTAGAATGGCTGTGAGGGTGTCGTTACCTGTATCACTAACATTGTGAGTAATACCTGTTACAGGGGGGCGTGTTGCTCGTTTGTCGCTGACGTAACGCCAACTCTTGCATCTTCTCAGTTTGGCCTTTGAGCGGGCTTGTTGAGAATGTTGGTCAACGTGTTTGTCAACCATGCCTTGAGCAACTTTTTCACTACCGATGGTGCCTCTTCCATTGTGGACGTAGAGGCCCCTTTACCGTGTGAGGTTGTGATGCTGTCGTGAGGAGGGGTGAGCCGTTTCGCCTGGGAGAGGTATCTGGTGTTACGTCTTCACCCTCTGTTTCATTGACTTCGTTGATGGTGTGGAGGAGGTTGGTGGTGAGGTCGGCTATTGCTTTCCTCTTTTCCTCTCCGTTGCTTGCCATGCTAGATTTTTGTACACAAGTGTAGGTTTTTTGCATTTTTTTTAGATATAGAAGAAACTAAAATTTTAACTAGAAAATCCCCACAGACGGCGCCAAATTGTTTGACCAAAAGGTATGAAACTCTTTGTTAAACTAATTAAATGAAAGGATAATGGGTTAATCATAGTTAAAGATAATGTATCTAGATCTAAAATCAGTTTATATGGATAATGTGGGACCACAATATAATAGATTTAATGCAAAACGTAATAAGTGTGGCTGTTGTTGATGTGGCGAGAGTAAGCAATAAATAACAATAAATGACATTAACTGTAAATAAGGAGGAAGATTCACCCAATAATGAAAGAGGTGAATGATTCCTTCTTCTGACAATGATGAATGACAAGAATATGAGAGAATATTATACACTTTCTCGGATCTGGTGGAACAATGGATTGAATATAAGGATCGAATCTCCCTCAGAAAGTTGTTCTTTGTATTTATCTAGAGAGCTTGCTTTTCGAAAGTGTTCTTATCAAATGGAATATTACATGTCCCTTTCTTCTCTCTCTTTCTATTTATCTAGGACATGCCCCTAACCTAACCTAAAGTTCAGGTACAGAGAATATTCAATGGAATATTCCCCTAAATATCTTATTACAAAACTAGCTGTTATTTGCTGGCTTGAATGTTCGACCCCGGCCCCGAGTAACAGTGCGCCAGTAAGTTCCTTCAATTTTGTGTACGATCTCAGCCTAATCGCCTCTCAGTAATCCATCCTTGTGCCATGTTCCCTTAGTCAGATTTTGATACATACAAAACCATTTTACGTGTGCCTCCTCCCAGGCAATTTCTGAAGAGTCTTATTTTGCCATGGTACATAATTTTTGTTATATCTGTATATTTAAAGTATACTCTGGTATGTGTATTTGCTGTTTTTGCCTGATTGTTTTTGAACTTCATATCCAAACCGTAATTATATATACACGTCTAACTAATACATTCTTGCTTTGGGAAAAGAAGAAAGAAACCTCCTCTCCACACCCATAACAAATAGTCAATTCCTTAACTTCACCAATTCGATACCAGTCGTGGCAACCTTATTTCTTTTTCATTTTAATATTCTTTTTTTCTAATTTTTTTTTTCAATCACCAGAAAAATGCTTGCCACTAAGTAGTGACCTAGTCTTTATTTGGACTTTGCTATCATCTTAGTGGTTAACCATGATGCAGTTATATAAATGTTAAAGAAAGATGTCTCCCTGCAATATAAAAACTAGAGTTCCCAACTTAACTATGCAACACAAGTCTTAGTTCTGTCCTTCTCTTGTCCCAATATAGTTGCAAAATGAGAAGCTTTGGGAATTTAGGGCAATGGCCTCTTCTTGCTGTTGCTTTGGCAATTTGCTTTGTAGCCAGCACTGTTGTTGCTGATTACTCTAATGGGTATACTTCTCCCTCACCTTCTTACATTTCTAAGAAGTATTACAAATCACCATCTTTACCCAAGTACCCAGTACCTACTCCTTACTATAAGTCACCTGCTATTGCAAAGCACTACTACAAGTCGCCAGTTTCTGTAAAATACTACAAGTCATCAGTTCCCGTAAAATACTACAAGTCTCCCGCTCCCGCTAAATACTACAAGTCCCCAGCTCCCGCAAAATACTACAAGGCGCCAGCTCCCGCAAAATACTACAAGTCGCCAGCTCCCGCAAAATACTACAAGTCGCCAGCTCCTTCAAAGAACTATTACAAGTCACCATCCCCAGTAAAATATTCGCCTGCTCCCTCTAAATACTACAAGTCACCGCCGCCACCAAAATATTACAAGTCCTCAGTTTACTACAAGTCTCCACCACCACCAGCTTATTATGAAAAATCACCTTCGTATTACAAGTCACCTCCACCTCCTCCAAAATACTATGAGCAATCACCATCTTCTTACAAATCTCCACCTCCACCATACTATAAAGAATCTACACCTTCCTATAAATCTCCTCCACCTCCACCAAAATACTATGAGCAATCGCCTATAACTTACAACTTACCATCTCTACCAAAGACCTATGAAAAATTACCATCTCATTACGCACCTCCACCACCCGCAAACTATTACAAGCAAACTCCCACCTATGCCTCACCTCCACCACCTGAGAAGTACGAGCAATCCGTCACCTATGCTTCACCTCCACCCCCATTAGCATCTCCTCCACCAACCTACTACTGAAATTAACTATTCAGTCATTTTTCGTCATTTCCATGACTTTTAATTCCTTTTTGTCCTCTTATTTTTAGCAACTCCCATTTCCTCTGCCAAAATTTGATGTATGCTTCCCGAATGATCGGGTTTACTTATTATGTGTTCATGTTCTTTTGTTTTAATAATTTGTATTATTTATTGTTTGATTTAAGTACGATTCTCGAGATCTCCATCAATTGTTCTCATTATATCGAGATTCTTTGCATTCTACTTTTCTTAGTTCTGTACTTCTGTCGTCTTCTTTGTCTAATATTGCCATGTTACTGTATTCTTTCGTCGGTCCATAAGTATTTCTCCTGAACGTTTATTCAAACTTAGTTGAAATGAAGTAGATGGTATCTTGAGAACTTTTTCCCGAGAATGGTTTATAACCTATCTATTCTAAAATAAGAAATGTTGATTTCTTTTCACGGTTTTCCAAAAGATTTTAAAAATTAGAAAATCACAAAAATGGCGCAGTTTGAGTTTTAAGGTTTGACGTATTGTATTAAAAGATTGCGGCACAAGGCGAAACGTAAGCCCCATGAATCTTTAAATTTTTGCTAATTTATAAGTCTATAAATAGTAGAAAAATTTAAAAATTGTTAAAAATACGTTAAGATCATAAAAATCTAAAATAAAATAAATTGTCAAAAAATTAGCATAAATATACAAACTCTAGCATAACTATGAAAAATAAAATAACTTTATGTAATACATCAATTACAACATCAATAATATAACATCGAAAGAGAAAAAAACATCTTGGAAACAAGATGTGATATGTTCCTCATGCGAAATAAATGAAATACGAAACATTTTCTTACTATTATTTGATATTCTCTCCGGATAAAAAATAACTTTATGTAATACATCAATTACAACATCAATAATATAACATCGAAAGAGAAAAAAACATCTTGGAAACAAGATGTGATATGTTCCTCATGCGAAATAAATGAAATACGAAACATTTTCTTACTATTATTTGATATTCTCTCCGGATAATAAGTGGGTGTTTGGGTAAGTTTATGCGCCCCTATTTTCTCCCATCAGCATATGTACTGAATAACTCTGCTCACTAACACTTTAATAGAGAGATCATCTAATGTTCTAAAGACTACGCTAGCGCTGTTCTCACTTATGATTTATGATCAATATAGATGGCTTTTGTGTGAGTTGAGTTGATCTCAATTACAGCTCATCCTCCATTAATGGAGGCTCAAACGAGTGAATCGAGCTTGAGAAGAAAAGATGAACATCAGAGAGAATGATGAGTAAAGAACTTTCTAGTATACTGAAAAGTAATTACAAAGTCTGATATACATCACATATATATACACAATCACCCCACTAACTTAATCCCCAATTAACTAATGCCAAGTACTTTAACTACTCTAAGTAACTGGTGACATCTGACTTACTGCCCCACTAACTTGTCCAGCTGTCACACTCCTTCACGGTCTCTCACACTCTCCCTCAAGCTGGAGGATGTAAAATGTTAAGCACTCCCTATATGATGAGTCTTAATCTTGCCATCTTTGATCTTGTCTCTCACAAAGTGACAAACAATCTCTATATGCTTAGTCCTTTCGTGAAATATAGGATTGGCTGCAATTTCTAGGGCTGCTTTGCTATCACAAAAACACATTCACAGGTTGTGCAACTGAAATGCCAAGCTCTGTAAATAACCCAAGTAGCCAAACTATTTCTGTAGTAGCTGTCGCAAGGCTTCTATATTCTGCTTCTGCTGAGCTTCTAGACACTATCTGCTGCTTCTAGATTTCCATGACACCAATGATTCCCAAACTTCACAAACCAGTCACTGACCTTCTGGTATTAGGACATGCAGCCCAGTCTGCATCACAGAATCAAGTCAGACTGTTTCCACCTTTGATGCTTAGTAGAATGCCCATTCCTGGATTTAGTTTGATATATCTCGCACCTCTTAATGTTGTTTCCCAGTGAGACTGTTTAGGTGACTGCATAAATTGACTAAGTATTTGGACATCAAATATTATATATGGCCTTGTGATTGTCAGATATATTAATCTTCCAATCAATCTCTGATAGCTTAACATCCTTCATCAACTCTTCTCTAGATACCCCAACATGTGCATCAAATTCTGCTGAAGTGAACTTTTGATTCATATCTATTGGAGTGGCCATAGGTTTAGTATCTCCTAACCCCAGATCAGAAATCAGTTGCAAGGCATACTTCCTTTGGTTTAGTAAGATCCCTTTGTTGGACCTTATAACTTCAATTCCCAAGAAATACTTCAGTTCCCCCGAATCCTTCACTTTGAACTTGTGACTAAAACATTTTTAGTTTCTTGAATGAACTGCTCATTGTTTCCTTTAATGAGTAGATATCCACATACACAAGAACAACCACAAAATCTGCTCCTTTCTTCTTTGTAAATAGTGAATAGTCATATAGACTTTGTCTATATCCTGCCTCAAGGAGTGCCTCTGTAAGTTTGATGTTCCATTGTCTTGAAGCTTGCTTTAGTCCATATAAGGACTTCACTAGCTTACATACCTTGGTCTCCCCCTGTCTTCTAAAACCTTGAGGCATTTCCATATATACTTCTTCATATAAGTCTCCCTGCAAAAATTGCGTTACACACATCCATTTGATACATATTCCATCCTTTTGATGCTGCTACTGCAATGACTGATCTCACAGTTATCATTTTGGCAACTGGTGAGAAGGTCTCATGGTAGTATAACCCCTCTTTTTGGCTGTATCCTTTTGCTACTAGCCTGGCCTTGAATCTTTCAACATCTCCATTAGCTTTATATTTTATTTTATACACTCATTTTGATCCAATTGTGTTCTTTCACTTGGGCAAGTCTACTACCTCCCATGTTATGTTGTCCTTCAATGCCTTGATTTCCTACTTCAGTGCCTCAATCCATCTCTTGTCTCTTGATGCTTCTGTAAAGTTCTGTGGTTCTGTGAATACTGAGACCTTTGCTACAAAGCTTTTGCATGCCTGTGAAAGCAGATCATTACACAAATAGTCTGAAATAGGATATAGTGCAACATTATGTGCTTTTTTATTGGTACCATAATCTTATAACCATATAGGTTCTTTGGTGCTTGTGCCTGATCTTCTTGGTTCTTGTCTTCCGATTCCTGAGGAAACACATTCAGGTACATCATCGATGGATTCAACATCCCGTGATTGACCTGATGAAGGATCATTTTCCGCATGCTCATCATGTGTAGCTTGTTGAGATTCAGATGCTTCTTCAAATACTACATCATCAACATTTTGCCCTCTTCAACATGAGAAATGGGGGCATTTTCACAGACTGCATCAACCTCATCATCTTCATGAGCTTCATGGACTGCAGTTGTATCAGCTTCACCTTCAGATGCATGATCTGCACCTGGTGTCTGCAATGATTCAAGTGTATGATCTGCAGCATGTCCCTGTAATGGTTCATGCTCAAATTATACACTACCCCTAGCAGGAACATTAACATGATGCAATGATGAAGACTTATCAAATGGGAACAGATGCTCTTTGAATACAACATCCCTACATAAAAAATGATTAGTTGCAAAGTCCAAGAGCTTGTAGCCCTTTTGTGTGTCTAAATATCCCAAGTGCACAACAGGTTTGGCTCTTGCTGAGAACTTATTGTCATGTAACATAGTTATAGCATAGCACAAGCAGCCAAAAACTCTTAAGTGCTCAAGAGAGGGCTTCTGATGACGTAGGAGTTCATATGGTGATTTCCCCTGCAAAATGATAGAAGGCAACCTGTTTATGATGTAAACAACAGTAGTAATACATTCTCCCCAGTACTTAGTAGGTATATTTGCCTGGAATTTTTGGGCCCTTGCTGTATCTAATATATGTCTATATTTTCTCTCAACTACCCCATTCTGTTGGGGAGTGTATGCACATCTACTTTGATGTATAATGCCATAGTGTTCAAGAACATTAGTGCACTGTTTACTAAAGAACTCTCCTCCATTATTAGTTCTAACAATCTTAATAGCTACACCAAATTGTGTTCAAAGCATAGAGAGAAACTTTTGTAACATAATAATTACATCACTTTTCAATTGTAGCAAATGTACCCAAGTATACCTAGAACAATCATCTACAACTCTTAGAAACTAATATTTTCTATCATGTGTGGGAAACTTGTATGGTCCCCAAGCATTAAAGGACTACTACTTCTTGTAACACTTCTAGGAAAAACTAGTCTGCTCTGCTTAGCTAATGGACATACAAAACAATCTTTATTCACATCAAGATCTTTAAGCTGTAAGGAATCTATGTTTTTCATTGTACTAACAGAGGTGTGACCTAATCTTTTGTGCCAATGAATGCCATCTACTTCTGGTTTGTGGACTGCTGCAACTGATACAAGCTTCAAACTTCTAGCAATGTGCTCATCCTTCACCACATACAGGCCTCCCCTTTCCTTACCAATCCCCCTCACCCTGCCACTCCAAATGTAACAACCCGGCCGGTCGTTTTAAGAATTAACTCACCGATCCCCTATTAAGTGCTTTTTTCGTGCTTATTTCTGCTACTGTGAGTTGCCGGGAGGATTCGTTTTGAGTTTCGGAGTATTTTGGGACACTTAGTCCCTAAATGAGAGTTTAAGCTTTAGAATTTAAACCGTAGTTGGAGCAGTGTGAAGACGGCCTCAGAATGTAATTCCGTCATTTCCGTTAGCTCTGTTGGGTGATTTCGGGCTTAGGGGCGTGTTCGGATTGTGTTTTGGAGGTCCCTAGCTTAATTAGGCTTTAAATGCCGAAAGTCAAATATTTGAAGTTTCCGGTTCGATAGTGAGATTTTGATATCGGGGTTGGAATGGAATTCTGGAAGTTGGAGTAGGTCCGTTGTGTCATTTGGAACGTGTATACAAAATTTCAGGTAATTCGGACGAGGTTTGATAGACTTTTTGATCAAAAGCGGAAATTGGAAGTTTTGGAAATCCTTAGGCTTGAATCTGAGGGTGATTTGGTATTCCGCCGTTGTTTTGAGTGTTCCGAGGATAGCTACAAGTTTGAATAGTGGTTTATGACTTGTTCGTATTATTGGTTGAGGTCCCGGGGGGCCTCGGGATGATTTCGGAAGGTTGGCGGAAGAAAATTGGGAGGTTTGGAAGCAACTTCAGCTGCTGAAGTTCTGTCATAACCGCACCTACGTGTATGCGACCGCAAGTGCGGCACCGCAAAAGCGGTTGGAGGACCCCAAGTGCGGTCTGAGGCGAT